AAGGATGGCAGAGACATTTTATTTGGGAAAGCGGTGCCTTTGACCAGAGAACAGAATGAAAACGTGTGGGGATCTAAATCAGTGCCCTGGGAGGRAGGRAGGGAGGTGACAGTCCAGGGTGCTGGGCTGTGCCACGCTCTGGAGTTCTTTGCAAAGATCAAACCCCAGAGCAGTGGCAGCTGCACAGGGAGCTGCACAGAGCAGGAGGAACAGCAAACCATCCTGGTTCTCCCCATGAGCAGCTCGGAATCTCTCAGTGCAGAGCAGAGCACAGGCTGGCTCACTGGCAGCTGCTGTCAGGCTCCAGCAGCACTCCCCCGAGCAGGGCCATGGGGGTTTGTCCCCAGGCCACCACGTCCCCGTGGAGCTGCCCTGCCCTGCACAGCGCCAGTGCCCGGATCTCAGCAGCGCTGAGCACGCGGCTCCACAGGTTCACCTGAGCCAGCCACCCCACAAAACCATTGGAGAACGTCCCCAGCAGGGTGTCCCTGTCCTTGCCAAGCAGCAGTGTGCCCCCAGGCTGGGTTATGTAGCCCCTCTGGACACTCCTGGCTCTGCCAGGCGCTCCGTTGAGCCAGAGGCTGGCAGTGCCCGATGGGGACACCCAGGTGACACAGTGGTGCAGCCACTGCTGCTSCTGGTGCTGCAGGGGRAAGCTGACCCAGTGTCCCCCCAGGCACAGCCCCAGCTCTGTCCCCACCGTCACCAGCAGCTCGTGGGCGCTGTCCCCAGTGGAGTAGGACAGGATGGTCTGGGTGCCCGAGGGTTGGGCTCTGCTCCAGAAGCACAGGGTGAAGGCTCGCAGGGACACGGCGCGGAGCGGGTGAACCTCCACCACGCTCTCAATGTTCTCCACGGGGAAGTAGAAAGCTGGAAAGCTGCTGGATTTTGTGCCTGAAATCACCAAAAAGCCAGCAGTTCAATTTGCAGTAAGCAAACCCAAACCCTGGGGAATGCACCCCAGAACTGGCAGGCCACAGTCACTGGTGTGTGTTATCCTGTGCCAGCTTTGGATTGATGAAAAGCTGAGCTGAGCTCCCCCACCCAAATGTTTGGGAAAATCACTTTTTCYCTCCTTCCTCCTCGGTTCTCATTTTGTGTAATGTAGAGGTGATGATTATTCATCCTGGGGGACCGTGAGCTGAAATTTTTCACTGTCTGTAAAATCGTGCTCCCGTGTGGCAGCACAGAGCTGTGGGAGTGGCTGGGCTGGGGCTGGAATAACAATGCTGTGATCAAAGATCTCCATGAATCAGCCCAGGAATGGGGCACAAACCCACCTGAGTGTGGCAGTGCCCATCCTGTCACTGACTGAGGCCAGCAGGGTCAGCAGGGCACGGGCTCCTCATGCTCACAGGGTAAGCTGGGCTCAAACTGAGTCTCACCTGAGTGGCTCAGGCCATGCAGCAGCTCTGTCTTCATGTCCTGGAGCTGGCTCTGGATTTGGTCCAGCCTAAGGGTCAGTTCCTCCGGATGGCACTGTGCTGGAGGGATCAACAGCTCGATTTACACAGGGCTGGCACCTACACGTGCCACACTTCCTACTTGGAGCAAAACCTTTGTTTTAAAGTGCAGAGTGAGCCCGGCTGCAAATACAGAGCTGCTCC